CCGCCGCCGCCGCCGCCGCCACCCGGGCTCGGGGGACGCTGGCTGTCGCCCAGAAATATGGAGGCTCCGGGTGCCCGAGCGAAAGGGTAAATCTGTGTCGAGGCTCGGGCCGCGCGCGGGAGGGCTGCAGGACACCCGCGACGCGGCGGTTCTGCGGGGTCTGGGCGAGTCTGCGCCCCTGTACGGTCTGCGGGCCCGGGGGCTTGCTCCTGCAAATGGGGCTGCACGGGGTGCGCGCGGGCCCATAGAGCGCACAGGCGCTGGCGGGTGATGGGAAACACCGCTGACAGCGTGACTCTGTCTGGTAAACAGCGCCGGCTGGCGGGTCCCGATCACTCGGTCTGCCCAGCCGCGCTCCTACTCCGGCCCCCCGAATAGAAACGGCTGTGCTGCTGAAAGGGGCTGCCCCCTTAGGCTGGGAGGTGGGCAGCCGCGGAGCCTGCAGCTGAGGAGGGAGCTGCTATCTGGGGCAGCACCGAGGAGCAGGCTGCTCCCCACTCCAGCGTGCAGGCTCCTATTTTCTCGGGTGGATACGGAGCTTCAGCGGCCCCCGGTCTGGAACCAGCGGGCAACAAGCCGGGCTGTGCTCGGGCCGCAGCCGGCGCCAAACGCTATGGGCAGGAAGGGGTTACCGCGGAGCCTTCGCCGGCCACCAGGGGGGTCTGGCCGCCGCTCGCAGCCCAGCGCCCAGCGCCCAGAGTCGGGCAATCCCGGCTGGAGCCCTGGGCAATGGGGAGAGGGCGCGGACCCCTCCCCGCCCTGAGGCCTGCGGGATTGGGTCGGCAGGGGGCCAGCCCGGAAGCCGGCTTCCTCCCGGCTCCCCCTTTCTCTGCAGCCGAGCCGCCTTGCAGCCAAGCAGGCTGAGCGTTTGTTCTGCGCTCCCCGCCACGATGTGAGGGGTTTTTCTCTTGAGGAGAAAACAGTGGTCGAGAGCCTGCCTGGCTCAAATGCCACCCGGCTCAGAGGGAGGCCTGTGGCCCAGGGATTCCAGAGGGAGAGTAAGTTTGGAGACCCCGCCATCCAGCGTTAGTACAGAGATGCTACCTCGCTGCGTGAGGGGGTCTCCCTAGATGAGCCTTAGAAGAGTGGGTTTGTCGGGGGACATGGGGGAGGCGCTTCTTCTACCGGGACTCAGCTGAGGTCAGAGCTTGCAGACAGCTGCAGAAAGCCAAGCCCTCCCCTTGGGAGACGTTTGTTCTGATGGGAGGGGGAGGTCTTTGCCCAGAGTCCCTCCTGGTGGCAGCTGAGGAGGGAGGCCTCTTGAGACAGCCCAGCCAAGCCCGAAAGCTTGTTCCCTGGGAAAAAAAGCTCTTCATGCTGATGAGAAGGAACCTTGCCTAGAAGAGCCTGGAGGCTGAGGGTAGTTCACAGGCACAGTGCTGGAAAGGAGGGCAGCAAGAGGGGTCTTAGCACCTGCAGTGAGGAGAGTTGCCAGAGCCCTCCAGAGTCTTGGCACTAGCTTCCTCAAAGCCCTGATTCCACCTTGCTGCTGTGTTTTCCAGGCAACGTCACACCTCCTGAGGACAGCCTGGAGGACTCTGGCATTTGCTGAGCTGTGCATCTTGCCTGCATCCTTCCAAAGTCTCCGGACCGGGGCGCCACTGTTTGGGAATCCCGCATGCCCCTAGACAGGCACTCCTCTGGCCCTGCAGCCCATCGCGGCCCTAGAGCTCACCTCCAGGACCTGGAGTCTGCCCTCCTGCCCAGAATGACTCACCAGTATTTCTAGCTCGAGTAAGAAGACACGATGGGGAGTTGGGCTGCCTGTGTGTGCGTCTAGGATTCCCCACCATCCGACCAGTTCTGTGAGGAAGACAGCCTCAGGTTCCTGCCCGGCCAGGTAAAGCAATCTCTGGTTTATTATCAGCCATGATAGAGGCACTGGGGTGGGGTCAGTGAGGAGGCCCAGGGCCAAGTCTCCCATCGTGAGACATTAGTGCCCTTCTTGGGAGAGAACTCCTGTCTAGCCTCCTAGAATGGGTCTGTGTCCTAGGATGCTGTACAAATCACCTGCCTCCAGTGCAGGAAATTCCAGAGCTTCCTTCTGAGATTGCTGCCTGCCCCCCACTGACCCCCAGACAATTTACAAGGTGAAAGGAAAGTCTGCTTTTTGCTGGTGGTGGAAGTGTAATGATAGTCATGTTTTTGAACTCTTGGTTGAGAGCTCGGAGGCAGCAAGCATCCTCCCGAGTCATCATCGGTCGGGCTGCCAGTGCTGGGTGGTCTCATGTCCCTTAATTGCCTGTCTTTCAGCCAGAGGAGGCTGTCTCTCCAGCTGTCAGAGAGCTGTGGGGCTCTCCTGCAGGAGCTCAGGCCAATGCTTCTGTCTTTCCTGGGGCCTTTAGCAGCACCCTGAGCCCACTGCCACCAGGCAGCTGGAAGGCATAGTGTGAAGCTCTCCTCTCAGTCCCAATTATGACAGTGGCCACCGGAGACCCAGCAGATGAGGCTGCTGCCCTCCCTGGACACCCACAGGACACCTATGACCCAGAGGCGGACCATGAGTGCTGTGAAAGGGTGGTGATCAACATCTCAGGGCTGCGGTTTGAAACCCAGCTCAAGACCCTAGCCCAGTTTCCGGAGACCCTCTTAGGGGATCCCAAGAAGCGGATGAGGTACTTTGATCCCCTCCGGAATGAGTACTTTTTCGATCGCAACCGCCCTAGCTTTGATGCCATTTTGTACTACTACCAGTCTGGAGGCCGGCTGAGGCGTCCCGTGAATGTGCCCTTAGATATATTCTCTGAAGAAATCCGCTTTTATGAACTGGGAGAAGAAGCTATGGAGATGTTTCGGGAGGATGAAGGCTACATCAAGGAGGAAGAGCGTCCTCTGCCGGAAAATGAGTTCCAGAGACAGGTGTGGCTCCTCTTCGAATACCCAGAGAGCTCAGGGCCTGCCAGGATTATAGCCATTGTGTCAGTCATGGTGATTCTGATCTCCATCGTCAGCTTCTGCCTGGAAACATTGCCCATCTTCCGGGATGAGAACGAAGACATACACGGTGGCGGGGTGACCTTCCACACCTACTCCAATAGCACCATGGGGTACCAGCAGTCCACTTCCTTCACTGACCCTTTCTTCATTGTAGAGACTCTCTGCATCATCTGGTTCTCTTTCGAGTTTTTGGTGAGGTTCTTTGCCTGTCCGAGCAAAGCGGGCTTCTTCACCAACATCATGAACATCATTGACATTGTGGCCATCATCCCGTACTTCATCACCCTGGGGACAGAGCTGGCTGAGAAGCCAGAGGACGCCCAGCAAGGCCAGCAGGCCATGTCACTGGCCATCCTTCGTGTCATCCGGTTGGTAAGAGTCTTTAGGATTTTCAAGTTGTCCAGACACTCCAAAGGTCTCCAGATTCTAGGTCAGACCCTGAAAGCCAGCATGAGAGAATTGGGCCTCCTGATCTTCTTCCTTTTCATTGGGGTCATCCTCTTCTCTAGTGCTGTCTATTTTGCAGAAGCTGATGAGCGAGAGTCCCAGTTCCCCAGCATCCCAGATGCCTTCTGGTGGGCAGTCGTTTCCATGACAACTGTAGGCTATGGCGACATGGTGCCAACTACCATTGGGGGAAAGATAGTGGGTTCTCTGTGTGCAATTGCAGGTGTGTTAACCATTGCCTTACCAGTCCCTGTCATAGTGTCTAATTTCAACTACTTCTACCATCGGGAGACAGAGGGAGAGGAGCAGGCCCAGTACTTACAAGTGACAAGCTGTCCAAAGATCCCCTCCTCCCCTGACCTGAAGAAAAGTAGAAGTGCCTCTACTATTAGTAAGTCTGACTACATGGAGATCCAGGAGGGAGTAAACAACAGTAACGAGGACTTTAGAGAGGAAAACTTGAAAACAGCCAATTGCACCTTGGCTAACACAAACTATGTGAATATTACCAAAATGTTAACTGATGTCTGATTGAAGCCTATTAACATAATTGCAGCTCAATGGAACTAATGCAGATGTTGCATAATAGCCTGCCTTGTAGTCAGTGTGTTCTACAGTGTGCATCTGGTTCTGCATGGAAAGCAATAGTTGTGCAAGTGACTTTTGATCTTTTGATTTTTGATTTAGAACACAGAATATCTATCATGGCTTTCATGCAAATCTTTATATTTGACTCATGGGTTTCCAAAAAGGAGAGTTACCTACGGAACCAGGATGTCAGAGACACATTGAGGCCACCTCATATCCAATGCACAGTTTCCTAGACCAGTACCACCTTTTCTTTCTGAGCAAATGCACACAACACCTCCCTGCTCACTACCACCCCACTAGAGCCCACCTGCCCTGTACAGGGACACCATCATGGCTTCGTTGTAAAGCTCTGGTGATTACTCAAAAGGTCATTTCCATTTTTGCATTGAAAAGAACACACAGTCCTGTGTGTTGGAATTACTTTTCTGTGTTACAGGCTGGGGTTTGTGAATTGCAGTTGCCAAGTAGATGCTCTGGAGGCTTGTGTTTCGTAACTGAAAATGCTGCATTCTGCTTTTTCTCTGCAGTGTCAATGTGAGGGAAGCCTGGGGGAGGGACAGTTCATATGACCAAATATGAGTTGTCAAGTTTCACATTTGTCCCCTTAAGGCCTGCAAGGAGAAGGTATCCAACCAAGGAACTGCTCAGCTTCAGATTTGGCTGTTTTTGCAAGCTTCAGTGTCACAAAGACATGTCCGGGTTCTTTCTTTGCACTGGAGTTCCCAGGCATCTGCTTTCCTAACAAGGTGGCCCAGCTACACTGACACTGCAGTGGAATTGCCATCGATGCAACCGAGCTGCATGGGTGTTCATTGCATGAATCTCAATATTTAAAACACAGGAGATAACCTATTTTCTTAGTAGCCTATACAGTATTCATATTTAGAGTATTAATAGCCTTGGGATGTCATTGAGCTGGGGTTTTTTTCCTTATCAGAAGGCAAAAGCCCTCCATCAGGAGAAAAAGTAGACTATTGGGAATGAGGAATCAAACCTTCTGACCTTCCAGCCCAGCCATCTCTGTTCTTTCAGTGAGAGCACAGACCCCAAGGCAGCAGAGCGAGCTGGAAAGCCAGGGCCTCAGTGCTCACATGACTGCACCTTGGGGATTTACCTAGTCAGGAGCATGACTGCACAGCTGACCAGGGCGTTCGTCTTGAGCACAGGCAGGTCTGCGTATCCCGGGTATAGAAATATGTATCGGGTGTCTGTCTGTCTCTCTGCCTGTCTCTGTCTGTCTCTCTGTCTCTCTCTCTCTGTCTGTCTCTCTCTCTCTGTCTCTATGTCTCTGTCTCTCTGTGTCTGTCTGTCTGTCTGTCTGTCTGTCTGTCTCTCTCTCTCTCTCTCTCTCTCTCTCTCTCTCTCTCATATTCCTCTACCCAGCTACAGAAAAGATTGCATTTGAACATTATATAAGCTTATGCAATATTTTTGACACAGGGCAATTTATGCATGTGTTTAACTATGTGCACTAGAATATATATATGTATATATGTATATGTGTGTATATGGACACATATGCACATATATATTCATTCTCTGGAGTTCAGATTCAGGAGCAAACCCATTGCTCTATGGTTGGCTGTGTCAGAAGCCAAGGGGGGCTCACTGGTCACCCACTGGGCCTGGGTTTGCTGCTCTTGCCTCAGACACTCCGGTCTTCATGGATTCCTAGATGTTAGAATTGTCTTTCTGCCCTCCATGTGCTGCAGCTTCAGTTCCCCGTGACTGGAGCTTGTCTTTCTGAGTGCACAAGGGCCCAAGGGCCTTCACAGCTCCAGCTGTCCTGGGCCAGCCTCTCGCCAGGCCTCCTCCCAAAGTTCATCCTGTTGCTCATCTCCATACTCATCACTTCCCGCCCTATTTTATTTTCAGTATCATTAGGCTCTGCATTGTTCATTTTCAAGAACCTGTCCCAAGAGAGTCAGAATGGATCCCCTGCTTGGAAACCAAGGAGTAGGGTGCTCTGGGACCATATTCCACTAATCTGGACTTAAGAGGGAGCCTCCTCTGTATGGAGTTTCTAAAGTCCAGGACCAACTGATGGCATCCTAAGATGATTAAGAGGCATGAGACCCAAACTTATTCCACATTAAAGTGGCAATCAGAGAGACTTGAAGAAAAGTAGCCCAACAATGGGTGAAGAATTCTCCCCCACCCTCCAGAAAAGCTAAAGAATGAATGAGTACTGCACAGCCTGGAAGTAGACAACAGGTTGGTCCTGGGATGGATCAGGGGTGGCTCTTGGTCTTTGATGCAGTAGTTTAAATTTCTCAAGCACAGAAAATCCTGGCGGTCAGGCTGTCCTGTGGTGGCGCCAGCACAGCCTGGCTGTTGGCTCCTTAGCACTTAAGTTGTCACTGGGGGTGGGGCACCAGCTCAGGGTGCTAGGCCCAGGGTGCTCATTAGTTCCTGGTCACCCACACCCCCAGGTGTGTCTGCAGGGCATCCCATGCCCCGCATGAAGCCTTTGAGCTTCTCTTCCTCTCCTTCATGGGGGGTGGTGCTGAATCTCAACACGTGGAGTGGACACAGGCACTTTGAAGACAGAAGGTGAAAGCAACCTATACACTTGAGGCCTAGGTCAGGGGCTAGGTGTCACGGTCTCCTTGGCCTGGGACTGTAACACCTTCACACACAACCAGGCATGTCCACCATAGAGTAGATGATACATTGCTCCACACACAAGGACAAAATGTGCAGCGTATGTACAAAATACAGGTAGATTAATATAAAAGGTAGACCAGGAAGATGTATGGAGATAACTACATACAAAATATATGCCCTCACCACAGATATAGAATGTACTTACCAACAGAACATCTGCAAAAGACCTGCGTACCCCACATGTAATACACAACTCAGATGCAAAATACATTAAACTACATGGACATTATGGATATACATAAAAGATACACACAGGATACTTTACCATTTTTCTACATACAAATTCAGCATATACGCACAATATATATTCTTCTACTAGGCACACAAAGTACAACACACGTCTAAGAACATACAGTATCCACAAAACGCAGCTGTCTAATCAGACCCATTGCTTTGCTTCCAAATCTATAAATTAATGGACATTTAAAAAAAACTGTCCCATTTAGGCGCCTTTCCTTAGCTCAGTGGTGGCGAACATTTTAGCGCATTCAGGGATGCGAATGCCTGCCACAGGCTCACCACCACTGCCCTTCCCCGAATCAGTATTCTCCACGGCATCACTTCCTCCAGGCTCTTTTTTCACCCACTGATTTCATTCCTGAGAAGTAACCCCTGAGACTTCAAGCAGAAAGATGGACACAACTTCCAGCACAGGAAGCTAGTGGGCTTTGCACCCATTCCCTTTCCTTCTACCAGCACCATAGGTGCAAAGTGTGGAAGGATCCAGGACAACTAGTGACCTACCAGGGGCCTCTTTGCTAGGCCCTTTCTTTCAAAGTCCACAGAGACCACTGATTGGCTCCAGCTACTGAACTCCCAGCATCTGAAACTCTCCAGATTCATTTAAAAGCAGCGGTGACCTAAGAAACTGCACTATCCCCGGGCCCTAAATTAAGATACAGATACACCCATCAAAGATATGACAGCCCAAGCCCCTGTTGTAAGTGTTCATGTTGTCACCCAATGTACAGAGGTCAGGATTTGTTCTGTCCGCTCTTTCTCTCTCTCATCTTGGCTCACTTCCTCATGGTTGGCCATAAAGTATCAGCGTTAACTCACTGATACGCTGGAGAAAGTCCTTACTTTCTGAAAAGCCTCAGGCTTGGGGTTCATGGCTGCCTGCTGTAGTGAGAAAGAGGTAGAGGCTAGCCTCCCACGGAGGACACATTAGGGCAACGTGCAAACTACAAACGAAGGTGGTGTACCACTACAACACCACTACTGCCCGTGGCAGTAAGGCAGCACAGTGCTTGGACTTCTTTTGACCCAGAGTAGAGCACCACAGGGTGAGCCCTGCTCTCCAGGACTCCTCGGAGGCTCACTGACACACCAACCTGTGTGTAACGGGTGGCTGACTTGTCTGATAGAGTTGCAGACTCTCGGTTGCTCCTTGGCCGCACAGTGGAGGCTCCCCCTGCCTTGATGTCCAATCAGTGGGTTTGAATTCATGCCCTTGGCCTCATTAACATTGTTAGCCTCTTGAGTCAACCAGCAGAGATTGGATGCTGGGATCTGACTCAGTAGCTGTTCTGGCTATGACTGTATCCTCAGGCTTGGCCTTGCTGAGTCCAGCCCTGTTCCCCCACGGCACAGCAAGCAAGAACAGGTGAGGCAGTGGACTCCCTCTAAATTGGGATGTCTATTCCTACAACTATTTCACTTTTTCCTTCTCTTTGCTACCCTTCCCACCAAAGCTCAGCTCCATCTCTCATAGTTTGTGTTTGATTATTTTTAAAGAAGAAAAGTGCAATAAAATCAATAGTGACTGTTTTCTTTAGCAATAGCTCTTTCAAAATCTTGCTCTCAGGACTGAAAAGTGATAGATAGTACTTGGATTACTGAGTAACGCCCTTGACTTCTGGGTGTCCATTCACAGCCCAGCTAGTTCCTTCTTCCCACGTTCACATGACTCGTGTCCCCTGAGGTCTGACCTCCTTCTGAAATGGACACGCATGCAGATGGCAGTGCACACACCAGGAAGGCCCACCAGGTGACATGTTGCTCCATCGCCTTCCTGTGTGCGCCTTTCTGTCTCTGTGTGTCTCTGTTCTTCTCTCCCTCCCCTTTCTGCCCGCTCTCCCACATCATCCTTGAAACTTTTAGGAATTGGAACCTTGAGTTTGACCTCATGCCAGCCCATCTGGTCAACTTTGTGTCAGTCTGGCCAGGTATAATGGAAGCCTGCAGGAAAGCACTTGCCAGTAGATAAGAATAAAGCATCCTGAGCCACTACAGATCAGTTCCATGCACTAAAAGCCATTACTTGACCCTTCGTAGCCCCTCGTCCCCTCCCCAGAGAGATGGAGACTGAGGGAATACAGTCGGGAAGCTCACACCTAGGGGCCACAGTAACCTGGGGTGACTTGGGAATTGCCCTCTGACTCTCCTTCACAGTAAGCTGACTTATCCAACCACGGGGACTTGGTGAGGACGGTAGAGTGAGGCAGGTCCTGGTGGGCTTGGGTGGAGGTAGGCAAGCATGGAAGTCTAGGTGGTGAAGGTGAGACACTTGTAAAATAAAGGCCCACAACTCACTGCAATGTGCAGCTGCACAAGTGTTTGCATGCATGCTCAGGAGCTTCTGAAGAATCCCCTTTCCTGACATTTCTAGGATGCTGAATATTAAGACTGGACAATCAGGGTAGGCCTGCAAGCCCAGGGTCCCATTCCATTCCTTTCAGTCTACCTTGCTCTATGTACATATCTACAGCCAAACCTCATTAAGCCCACAGGGAAACCTCAGGGAAGGGAATGTCCTGGCTGCTTTGCAATTCTGGTTATTTGAGTGAGAATGGGAACATGTGTAGTTCAGCCTTTGTTCATTGTTGAAAGGTAGTGTTCGCTAAGTAGGTTAGTATCAACTCTCCTGCCTTAGTTCGTAGAGTGTTTGAAGATGATACAAGACCTTGCTTTGCTCAGGGTCAACCTTCTAAACCTCAGTGTTCAGTGCACAGAAATGGAGATGAAGCTGACCAAAGAGACAGGCTGAATGACGCTGGCTTCCAGACAGACCTGGAAGTGGCCAGCTGGGCGCTTCCCGGCTTACGCCATAATGCTCTTGCTGTTGTGTGCCTCTTTCTACTGAAGGTATTGTGAGAATGAATAACTTTTGTCCGTTAAGGTTTTGGTTAGTTGGTCCTGAGTTACTGGAGGTTTTCCATATATACATATATCTGTGTGTGTATATATGTATAATATATGTATATATGTATGCCATTATTTTAAAAATTACACAAATACACATTTTCCCATGCCCTGAATTTCACTGATGTGGAATACGTTTGACAATCCATAAAATAAGCTGCATTTATTTGAATTTTTAAAATGACCTTCCTTTGAGTTTTTCCACCTCTCCAATTTTGCTTTTTCTTCTTAGGGAACTCTCCAGTAGGTGTTTCTTTCATAACAAAAGAACAGGCTCCAGGATCACCTCTTTCCTTTCCCTCCCAGGTGGCAGCCTGACTCAGGGATAAAAGGGGACGTGATCCAAGGGCCAGGTGCTTTATCTTTATT